ATTCTCAAAGAGTGGGTCAATTTGTTTTTATACCTTTTATAAGATATCTCATTAGCAAGAGTTGGGTCACTTATATATTGTTTATATAGTTTATTTTTCCTTTTTATGGATCTTAGTTAGTAGAGACCTTAAGATGTAGGACGGCTCAGCGACGACGACGGCCGAAACAAATACATTCAAATAAATTATTGTAAAGAAAGCTTATCGTATATTCTCAATCGTATGAATTTAAAACAGCTTGAAGAGATCAAAACAGAGGCTTTCTATTGAGTATACAGTATTATTATACGGCAAGCATTTGTTTTGATGAATCGCGCAATTTGATTGGTTGCTGACGAGGTAGGATTTTCCCGGCAATACGCAATTTTTTTGCCCCGCGACAAGAGCCGAGTTTCAAACAGCAAAAACTGTCTAAAAGTCTTTCAAAACTATTCAAAACGGAGAAAAATAAACCTAAACTAAAGAAAAGGAGCACCTTGTTTGGTTAAAGAACTTTCTCAATATGTTTTTGTTAGCGAAAGTCGAAATTACAAGGTAAATTTTACAATGTTTATAACTATTAAAGAAGTCAGGAATATGCGTGTTTTGACTTTGTGAAGAGCTGCAAATCTTATTTGCAGATAGCCGAGGAATTTGACACCATCCTAAATAAAAAATACAACTAAAGCAGCCACAGATTTATATTTTTTCCCTGAAAATTTCTGGGGGTTTTCGATAAAAAGAGATATATTTATGAGATGAAGCGAACTAAAACCGTACTTGTCCATACTGTTTATTAATTTTATTGTTTTCATATTTGTTGTCTTTGTCTTTGATTAAATGACGAAATACCTCGTATTTTTCTTGAAATACTATCCAACTGTGTTAGTATTCTATATAAAAATTGCTGTAGAGTAGTTTTACTAACCAAGCTTGAGAACATTTTTTACAATTGTTCTTTTTTGTACATGTTTCGGACTTTGTACTTTGCCCTCGCTTGACCTTTTTTACCCATTTTTTACAAACGTACAATGCCATATAATAAAAAACTTAACAGCAAGACCTCGGTTGGATATTTTCCCGTACTGCCCTCACTCTCGGTCAGTAAGTTATTAGTATTCCACATTGATACTGAACCAATTTGCTGGGTATCTACTTCTTATACGTACTAAAATGCAAACGTTGTAAACAGGACGTAACATCTCTGCATGGTTTACCTGCTGTAAACAGACAGCGGACGACGTATAAATCTCCCGTGGATTTTAATTATTCATTTCCTTTCTTAAATATTATTAATTTCATTGTATTATTAGCCGCCGTCGTCACGTTGCCGTCCCAGATCTTAAAGTCTCTAGTGGCGCAGCTGAGCCCAACCCTGAGTGACCTAAACCTTCTTCTGGGGAACGCATGCTGGCCCCTAATCTTGGTTTTGATCCCACTGTAAAACGTTTAAAATAACACTGCTGACAACCATTAAAAACAAACCCGAAACCTAAAACTAATTTAATCGTAATCCCAACACTATACGAGGGAAAAACCCTGTAAAATATATGACGAAACAAAATAATATTAAATAAATTAACAATAGTAGCTTGACGCTTTCATGTAGATCTTATCAGCATGCAGAGAACTTAGTTACGTTACAGTGAACTTATCAAACTTTAGCACGCACGTGAAACTTTATCTAGCACGTAGAAAGTTAACTACAATGATAATCTGATAATTCCATCAAGCTTGTTACAAGTTGTTAACAGCTTGTTCCAAACTTGTTCCAACAACTGGGAACAAGCAGTGCTAACACAACTTGCCGACAGCTTCTGAACAGCTTTGTAACAACTTTGTGCGTTTTTACGTGCGTTTGCAGATCTGTAACAACTTGTGCGTTTTTTACGTGTGTAGGACCAGGCAATTAATAGTTTCATGCCTGACTCTGGGAAATTAACAGTTTCATGCCTGTCTCTATGACTTTCATATAGACTGACTCTGGGAACTTATTATTATTAATAAAGGTTTTAGATACTAGAAAAACATTTTTAACAACTTTTAACTTTTGAAAACCTTGAGAAGCAACTTTAACAACTTTTGGGAAATTTTAATACATCTTTTGAAAATCGTTGCTGTATGTAGTAACCTCCGAATTTCAGGAAGCCGACGAAATTATAGAGGATGGACTTGGTGCGAGCGGGGTACAGTGGACTCTATTAAAACTGGAACGAAAACTCGGGCTATGTTTTTGAAGCAAAAAATGGCGGAAATTAAACCCTTCTTGTAGGTATATGCCCTAAGTCCCTATGCGAAAATTAACTGAATTCAGTATGAAAAATCGGCATCGTTTCATGCAGAAATTTCGTAGTTTTTCGGCAAACTATTTTTCAAGTCCGGCTTTGCGATGGTCCTAAGAAACCACAGTAAACTATAGTATCATTTATACCTGTGCTTGAGATAACAAATCTGAGCCTTCAACCAAACCACTATAGAAAGTTTCTTGTTCAATATTGGGTAGTATTATCATTCCAGATTCTTCGAGGATTACATTCTTTTGTCTTAGTTCGGAAATAATTCGTCTTGATACACCAGGGATTTTTAAAGATTTCTAAATATAAATGGAGGTCATATAAGATTACGAGAAGTTGATGTGAAAAGCATTCTAATTTCCGAGTTTGCATGCACACTTTACGTACTTAAACCGCCTTAAAGGACATCGGCAATGCACTTAGCTGTAAGTTGTTCTAGTTTTGTATATGTTGTCTTTCAATTTGTTATAGCATATTAACCAACCAAATCAATAGTTTTCATGCAAAACATTAATAAGTCATCGGCGAAACAAGTATCGACGTATCGTTGTCTTGATACCAGAGTAATTATAAATGCTCATAAATTAACCCAACTAGCGCGTAGAATTTTCTTTAACAAACAACACCGTTTGAGAAGTAACCGCATAAGGAATCGGTATTTTAGACGCCAGAAATCTGTAACAAACCGACCTGATTGGTGGAAAAACAATGGAATCGAAAATCAATCAAGTCGTCAATAACGATCACAGCCATTGCTTCAAAACAAAACAAACATGGCGGCCGCGTAACATAAAGTAGAAGTTGAATTCAGGTGGAAAATATGGCATTTATCTTTTTTCTAATGGAAGACTGTACCTTAAACAAGACTAACAAAACTTACATAGTTGTGTGAAATTTGGAAACCGTTTGCGTTGTATGTGATATCATATAACATTTAAAGCCGGGAAATTTTGTCAGTACGTGGATGGTTCACAGTAAACGTAAGTTAAAACTATATAAAGTAATAGCAACAACTATATAAAGTAATAGCATACATACGTTGATAAGGTGTGATGATTGTTTGGACCATTTGGATATTACCTCACCAAATATCGTCTCAAATTCATCTATATTTGGCTTTTCTAAAAAATAATTTCACTAATGAAAGCGTCCGCTTTATATATCGAAAACAGACGTAAAAACCGTTCTAGGGATGTCATACAGGGTTGGTCACAATGTACGTTTATTAGATTTATATAGACAGCCATATACTCAAACTGCATGGAAGACAAAAATATGTACTGTACTTCTCGACATTTCGAGCGAAGGCTTGTCGAAAGAGTTATCAAATCTCTGATGAAAGGGCTTTGTTTGGAACGTGGAGGAGTGCACGGTGCATAAAAAAGGTAACTATATCCAACTTCAGCATGTTCGCGTGGGTTATAGATATTGAGTTTATCTATAACAATTGTACACAACAACAAAAAATCAGGCTTTTAGCTGTCCAATGATATTTTTTGCATATCACTATAAAAGAAAATTGCCAAATATACGAATCGAATAAAATTGTCTGCGGAATCGCATTTTTCCACCGTTGGTAATTTGGTGGAAAAACTATTGAAAGTAAATGCCAATTCGATCTAAAATTCATGAATGTTAATGAAAAGCCCTAACATCTTGTCACTTAATATTTGGCATGACACATAAGAGGTTAATTTGTTTTTCTTTTGTTCCACACCGCTTTAATAATGCACACGTACAGTATAGGTGCATGAAAAGAGTGATTTCAACATGCAATTTTCAAATGGCTCGTATTTCGTCATTTTTTCTTAAAATGATTCAAAAAAGGTGTCATTTGAACGCTAAAACCCTAATCTTTATAAGCATGAACAAATTCAATCTGTGCAATCAATATTGAGCGCATGCACAAAAGAAACTCTAAAGCTGTATTTTTTTTTCAGATCCAGTCGCCGTCGCAAAATCTAACAAACGTTTGATATGTATATATACACTAAGAAGCAGATCTGCAATAGATAAACAAGACAGACACTTGAGTAGGCAGTTTAACCACGGGTTTAACACAATGACCAAGAAAATCTACCTGGCAAATCGACTATAGTATACGCGTGGCTACAAGGAAAAATATAAGCAAGACTGCATGGACTTGACGTTCCGCTTATATATTTTCAGGTATAGTTGTATCTCTCATAGTCGCTACCTACATTGGCACAGACCGTTATTACGTGTGGCTACACATTTTATTAACCTTTCATAAATGTCTTCATTTCTCGGGGACCGGTATAGCAAAACTGCTATTATAATACTACATATATATGAAAGACGTCCGTACCTTGAAGTACACGCGTAAAATTCTCACAACTTGTCAACAAGATGTGTTCGCCATAGGCTTGTATAAAGCTTGTCAAAATGTCAACAAGTTGTAACAATGTTGTTATTTTATCAAGTTGCTACAAGGTTGTCACTCTCAACTTTCTTGACAAATTGTTCATTTGTAGGACGTTAACAATTTAGTTGTTGGAACATCTTGTAAATGGAACAACTTATAACAAGTCTGTTCATCACAGCAACCTTGTACCAAGTTGTCGACAAGCCCTTGACAACTTGTCAACAAGCTGGGAACAAGCAGTGCGAACACATCCTGTTGACAAGTTGTTGGAACTACATTGCTATATATAATTTGTGCGTTTTTACGTGAGTAAGCGACGTTCTTGTCAATTACGAACGCCAGATTACCGAGGGTGACTGGATTAAAAACTGTGTTTGTGTTACTTACTTTGTTCTAATCTTCAACACATATGGCAGTACGCGAGATGTTCTTATAATTTTTTTTGCTTTCTTACACGAGCGCAGATGCAAAATGTCACCATAATTAGTTATACCAATTTTCGGGTGACGTCCGTGTTGACAAAAACGTCGCTTGCTTATAAGCTGACTACATTCTCCCAATCTATTATTTATATACTAACCAAAACGATGGCAGCTAGAAAATCGATATTTGTTTTATTAATACCTTTATTTTTTTGTACATTGTAGACTTGCTCGAAAAGAATAAGACCAATACGATAAAAAACTTTGTCCCCATCCAAGAGAAAGTTGTCAATAACGTGAATCTGAAATTACATTCAAAATTTTTATATTTCTACTAGAAAAACATGCATGCAACCACCACCCCTCGCGTACATTTTCCAAACATTGTTTCAACATGAAGTATTCGTAATTATGCCAACACTGAATGCAGGCTCGCGTTACACGTCATGTTTGTCATGGCAACACGATAAATGTTTTTTAAACTTTTTGTACAAACCTGCAAAAAATAGATGAAACTTGAACACTTTTAAATACAGAACTATCAATTTATAAAATATATAAATGGGTATATTATTTTGCTTTCTAAGGGTTTTATTTTAATGTAAAATTCAAAACGAAACTCTAACAACTTTTTTAAATGTGAATTGAAATTAACTGCTTTTTGCCGATATTAAGCTAATAAACTCTTCAACTCGAGCTTCAACTTATTACTCGCTCTTTGACTTTGAAGTGAAATGAATTTAATTCGTACAGGACGATTATGAATATAATTTGCTTTCCTTTTTATCATGAACTTCTACAAAAGTTAATTTAACTAGGAAACTTTCGCATACAATGCATAGGTTAAAAATACAAAGTCACACATAAACAATTGAAACAAACTTGCCGTATATACTTTAGGATTTCTGGTACTGAATCAATTCTTATAAATGTTTACGTTTAAAAAAGGAAAACAATTTTAAAATTTGTTATGTGAAACGATTTTCCAGGCTTTCTTACATGCATTTTATATATTTTTGCCTTCTTCACTCCTGGCAAACAGCCATATTTTGAGATCAGTGGATGACCACCCACCGAAACTTCGTTGGTGAGTCACGCCCGCGATCATTGATGAACTTTAGACTTCGCTAATGCTTTCGTTTCCCCGGGTGTAAATAGCCGGACGGAATTAGTACCCTCGCAGGAACGGCGCTCCGCGCCGTTGGCTCGGGGATGTACACTTTCATGAGAAAACATTTACGCATAGCTTCCAACAATTCATTGTTAGACTACTTTTGAAATCTCTATTCTCCAGTCTTATGAATAGTTTGTTTTCATGTGAATGAAGAATGGTTATGGCAAGCAAAATTTGAAGCTGTATGCAAGAGCAGATCTTAAAAATGCACTATCAACAGTACAAGGCAGGCTCGTCTTCCAACAAAAACGAACATGCAAAGACGAAAGGGACAAATTGAAGCTTGTACAAAATGAAAATTGAACACAAACATAAGCTTGTCCAATTTGAAAATTGAACATTTATTTGTGGCGAAAAATTGAGGAATTTCCGTTTTATATCGTGGAAAATGATAAAAATTTGGACGTGCCGAAGTCACCGCAAAATGACGGTCCGCACTTCAACATCGAAAAAAGCACTTTAAAACATTTCTACCGTTCCAAAACTTGTTTTGTTATTGTGAAGTCCAGGTATTCTTGTTGACTTTGAGCTTTTGGTCCGTGCTTAAGCTATGCTAAAACTGGAAAAAACCGATGTTTTCAAACTTGTGTTATTTTCGTAATTTCCCGCTCCTACATAACATCGCGGCTGTGCATCCGGGAATAATAACTTACATCCGGGCAACGAGGTTTTACATAGTCATAGAGTTTTAATTGCCCCCAGCTTCAATTTGTCCGTCGATATTTCTTGCAATTAATGCCCACTCTATTCTTTTATAATCGCTAAACCAGTCTTGAATCGACTAAAATTATTGAAATAGAGTATTAAAATCCGTTGAATATTGCAGTGGCATAGCCAGCTCGATAAGAGTGTGTGTGTGTGTGTGGGGGGGGGGGCATATTCATATATTCGTGTTCTGCATTATTAATTTCGTTTGAAATTCATTGTTCTTACGGTCTGTGAATACGAGTGTTTGAATATGCCCCCCCCCCCCCCCCCCCCCCCCTAGAATATTTTGCAACAAGTATTTAAAAGTTGGGGTTTATTTTTACATCATTTTAGTTTTACATGCAGTGACTGCATGATAACGACCCCGGTTTACTGATGGAAAGCATTGCCAATGTACGTGGTGTTTCCACAAAACCAAATAATTCTAGTTATCTCAGAATGCAAACGTACTGTACAAGTGACATTTAAATTGCCATTCACCTACCACTGTCCAAAAATCAAGATATTTGAAAACCCATTGAAGCCAATCTATACAGAATATTCTCTTTTTCCACGTTATTTTTCCGTCCGTCGTTAACAATGATTTCAACCACGTGTATACTGGTTTCTACCCTCAAAAGATAAGAGTACTTCAGACGGTCTGAACCAGTGCCGGGGCAGAGACGATAATAAGATAACTGCGGATTGCGAGAGATAACCTGGAAAATGCAAGCCAAACTTCGCCGTTTCGAGAGAAGGCTCTTCGTCGGGAAGTTAGTGGATTCCCTACTAATTTCCCGACGGGGGGCGTTCGCTCGAAATGTCGAAGTTCCAGGGGCGTCGCTGGAGGGTGTGTGGGGGGATAACACCACTCTCCCAATCGACAGACATCCGATACTTACACCCCTCCATTAAAACAGGGCTAGCGACGTCCCTGCGAAGTTCTGCTTCTATTTTTAAGGTAGTGGTATCTCTCGCAATCAGCAGTTCTCTCAAGATTACTTCAGTTATGTTTTACAGAATATTGTCGTGAATGTTGGGTGCGTAGGTAGCGAAGAATACAATTTGCGGGTTTCCAGTTGTGTCTGATGCAACTATCCGAAATATTCTTCGAGCAAGCACCTTTCACCTTTGATATCATGGGTTCGATTCCTGCAGCGAACTCATGACACCAATGTACATGGAGTCAGTCAACGCTCTACTGAAACGTGGGTTTTCCGGAGGCAATGATGGCAGGGTGGGTTGGGACTAGTCTCAGCCATTCCACCGTAGTTGTGATCCGTGATCAGACATACTGTAAGTCATACTGATCAGACAAACTGCGGAAAGCCTTCGACTGAATCAGGTTGGGCTGCAGTGTAGCTTGGCTCTGAGCTGCATGTAAGGATGAGTAGCACACCCACCACAAACGTAACTAGAAATACAGTACAAACATGCATGCACCCCTCGCTTATATTTTCCAAACCTTTATTTAACACGAAGTATTATTAATTTGGCAAACACTGACCGCAGGCTCGCGTTGCGTGTTACTATAGGAACACGATCATTTCAAATTTATTAAATTTTGTACAAAACGGCAAAATTAAATAGTTGAAAGATTACAGTAGTACATTTATTAAACTATACACAACAATCAATTTCCGAAATACATACAGTATGTATAATATTTCGCATTTTGTGAGCTTTGATTTAATGTAAAATTTAATCCGAAACGATTCGTAAAATGTTTTGAAATGTTCATTCAATTAAACAGATTTTGCCGATTTACTGTTTTAAACTTAATAAAACAAAACAGGTTAAAATTATTGAATAATGTTAGTAATTATTTAAGTTTTTTCTTAAGCTAAAAAAGGTAATTTTGCAGCTTCTGTACATTGAAAAGGAAAGCAGTGCATGCTTTACGAAAAAATTATTAAAGCAACAAAATTCATAAACATTAAACAGTGAGGAGGTGCCCATACACCATGCTGTACATTGAAAAGGAAAGCAGTGCATGCTTTACGAAAAAATTATTAAAGCAACAAAATTCATAAACATTAAACAGTGAGGAGGTGCCCATATACATTGAAAAGGAAAGCAGTGCATGCTTTACGAAAAAATTATTAAAGCAACAAAATTCATAAACATTAAACAGTGAGGAGGTGCCCATACACCATGACACCACTTTAGACTTCGCTAATGCTTTCCCCGGGTGTAAATAACCAAGTGGAATTAGTACCCTCGGCCCGGCTTACGGCCTGAACGGCGCTGACTTAATGCATCGTATAGTAGTCAACAAATATAATAAGACTTAAGTTCAATAGCAAATACCTTCCATTTCTTGAGGGCATCTTGAAATGTCTTCGCTGTTATACAGTAATCTGTTGCAGATTTATCTACATTGTACTTTCTTGAACTAAATATTGAATCTATACACGCAAAACAATCTTCCTTGTCCATAAAATGCATAAAAATACAAACAAGTTGTTGAAGAATTGGACAGAATGTCACATCACAATGAAGTTGTGAGAGCACAGCAAGAACCTCCTGACATTTCTTCCATCCTTCATCTGTGAGGTAATGCTTCTGGATAAAACTTGCATTGAAAAAGTGGTCTGTTCCTGTAAACAGGGCATACTCTGAAAAAAATGCATGTGAACACCTTTTAGAATATCAATGCATGCAGACTGCTCCATTAACTGTTCACTACTTTCCAAAACACTAATGAAAGGCAACAGGATCTAGTCCAGGGATGAATTTACTCCGGAAGTGCAGGGGGTGCACAAAAAACCTAACCATGGGAAATGGGGTCGCCAATTCCTTTATCAAACCCATTTTATTAATCTATTATTACAAAATAGAGACAAAATGAATGTGAAATTGCAAAACAAGTTAAGAATGACAGAGAAGTGCCTTGCTGCTCGAGCTCCCTCTTGTGATTGCACACTTTGTCAATGGTTGTAACCTGGACCATGACCCATAACAGAAGGCCATGTGTTAGATAACCATGGTTAATTACCGTTAATATCATGTTTCCCTCTTAAAATAGAGTTTAACTACTACTACGTACCCCTATATCATCTCAATCAATCGTACGATTGCTTGGAACCAGGGGCGGCGCTGCAATGGGAGTGTCGGGGAAATCCCCCACTGATGAATGAGTCGAACTTAAAAATTCGTTCTAACGAGTTGTAGCGCGGGTAATTTAAAAATTCAAAAGATCAGTTTCAATTGCTGAGGTAGTCGTTTGAAACCTTCCCCAGAATGGAGGAATTGCCATTTCAGAGACTCTAGATTTCAAAATTTTTCCGGGAGAGCATGTCCCGAGAACCACCCTCAAACACTGTGTAGTTAGAAACAATCAAGTGTAATCAAGAGATCTGACAGTTTTTATTGTGAAAGTGGATATACTTTTACGTAATCTGCGTATATGCAATGTTAACCAAGGTTTAGTACATGTACGGGTGTACATAGCCATAGGCTAATATGCAAGCATTTTTAGCGTTGTATAATGTGATATAACAAAGTAGGAAAATTTTGTCCGTGGTCGGTTCGCTATAAAAGTAAGTTAAAACTACAATTGTCTCGAACATTTTTATGTATATTTATAATACGTAATAGGATGGTTTCTCGTGAAATTTGGATAAAACAAGCACTCGTGAGTTTTTAAAGACCTCAAATAGCACTCGTCCATCGGACTCGCAAAAAACTCACTCGTGCATGTTTGATCCAAATTGCACTCGAAACCATTCTATTACCCATACCATGGATAATAAAATAAATTTATTTTATTATCCATGCCCATACTACATATAGAACAAGCTAATGACTCGGCAAAACTATACGTCCTCCCTCCCCCCCAATTGAACAAGTGAACAAGGCCTAGCTAGCGGTGGTTTTCCGTTTCGCAAACCGCCAGGGTCACCAGCAACAACTGCATTCCTCTCTCTAATAATTATATAAGTAATATAACTCCTTATTCAATTTGGCGCCATGGTTTTTACTTTTTACTATAATTTACAATTATGGCAGAAACTAAATACTTAGTTAAAATTTGCACACATATACAGAAGTGTAGAAATAAAAACTCTCCCTTGCAGAATTGACATGCTCTTGCTGTCAAGAGAAACGATTATTGGATTACTTGAAACGTTATTTAATGTAAATTCCCAAACGGTAGAGTATATTTTTGGCAATTTCGAAGAAAAAAGTTTTTCCTATTTGTCGAAATTCCACATTACTTTGACATATTTCTGGTATTTTCGAACACTATATTGCATATGTCTTCTTTTTAAAGTTATTTCCCCCAATTTTTGCCCGAATTACGTTTATAATTTGCCCGACTTCATTTTTACTT